GATAAAATAATTTAAAGTGTTATGTGTAACATAAAAGCCATATGTGCAGATACAGAATTACATGCATCTTGCAAGTGAATGACAGAAGTCAATATTTTATTTTTCTAACAATACTCTTGAAAATTGTGGACGGATTCTTTAACATCCCAACGGACAGCAGAATGTACGCGAAAATATCGATCGGTGGGTGTATATTTGGCGAGGACATTTGTCCTCTCGTCGGTATACACTGGGGAGAAACGAATGGGATCTTTATTTCTACTTTCGTCGAGCGCTAATGTCTTACAAGTTCGCCTCGCTTGTCGTACGCCAGCATTTCCGCTAATCTTCAACGTCTACTTTCCGTTGGACACGGACCATTATTATTCGTTAAGTAAAACTGTTTCGCTACGATAGAAACAATGTTTATCAAATGGTATTGCGTTGCGACATTGCAAGTATTGCTTCGCAATAATTATCTATCAGTAATCACAACCTCTTCTCTTATTCATTTGAAGCAATTTTATACGTCGATCATTAGTCACTGCTGCATATATTTCGAAAAAAATTACAGACATATTAAAATCTGGTTAAAAACTTATAAACTTTTCTATAAAAGTCAATACTCTGTATTGTTTGCTATACTATTACTTTTTAAAAGGAACAATTATTAATGAAAAAAAATTATTTTATTTTCACAGAAAATATATGATTTAAAACAACCTTTTGCACTACAGTTTTATTTCATAGCTTCTATTTTTAATCTTGCCATGTATCGCGAATGTGCGAACTGAAAGCACGTAGGCAATTTTCGAAGAGATGTAAAGCGTGGTATGGTTTCACAGTCGTTGCCATTTTAAAAGACTTTTACAAGGACATTAAAAATTTAATTTCATAAATAAACATGAAAATTCACTTTTTAAAAAGGAAAATATAATTAAACAATTGTAGCATTATAATTGAGATTTAATTCAGATTTATATAAATGGAAATTAGTTTATAGATGAAAGAGTGAAATATTATCTATTCAACAAACTACATAATTTCCATTGATATTATTATTAATGCAAATAAATTAACAATTAATTTGCCAATAATAGTTTATTGCAAAATGGATTTCCATCAGTTAAGATCTCATAATTTAATATTTATTATTAATAGATATTCATTACACATTGTGTGTGCTCAAATAAAAGAATTTACATCATATTAAAATTAGTAATTAATATAATTTTAATTGTTGTTTTGTCTTCTAGTTACGAATATTTATTATAATTCTAAATGTCTACAATATCTTTATTATATCACACAAATTTCAATATCATATCGAATATTACAAATTATCCAATCGTAGTTGACATCATAACTTGAAGTGAATAGTAAATTGTTATCTTACACAGCGCTCGTAATAATATCCATACGTTTACATACTTATTGCATACGTGATATCCATGCTTTCGTTATATTATAGTGAATATTCTTCACAGTATCTCAATCCGGGTTGATTTAATCGAGATTCAGTCGCGTTCAAATTTCCGTTTACGTGCCATAAATAATTCCGCAATTTATCGCGTGGTCCTTTGCACGAAACTGTCTGTGTTTGCATGTATCAAGGGTGAAATACGATGCTGTTAACCATAACCGACAAGTTTTATGGACCAGACTGTATGAAAGGAAGGAAAAGTAGATAAACGGAACGACATTTATTACCGGCAGCGACATTTAAGAAATCTTATCAATGATTAATGTTCAATCGACGGTTGTAGTTGCTCCTTTTTAGATGCATATTACGATGTGTAACGTGCACGTGTTTGTTAAAGTGTTAAGTAAAGATGTTCGTGTAGAAAGTAACGGTTTTTTTTGCCATAAGTTACGACCCGCGAAAGTTGAAGAAAGCATTGAACAGTAAAATTCTAAAACTATTATTAGAAGTAGATATTGGAGTTAATTTTTTACTTACTTTTTTATTATTTTCATGACTTAGTTATAATAATAAATATGAAATGTGTCAGAGGAGAAAGATATTCTTTTAAAATAGACGGTAGCAAAGATTTGGTTTCCTGCCAAACGCCTCTGTATTCTTATAGAAAGAGAAACGACTACTTCCTTCTTATTTTACGTCGAGACGCGAGGGAAGAAACGAAAAGGAATTATCGGCGGTGAATCTTTTCGCAAGGAGAAGAAAAGAGGAGTAAGTTACGTCACGCCGTTACGGTTGCAATTGCTTGGAAGCATTCTATCCGCCTGCAGGTTATCAATTTACATGTGATAACTGTGTCTCGTTCTCGTTTCCTCTGTAAAGAGTGAAGTAATAAGAAGGCAGTAATCGTTTATATATACATATACATAATTTTGGAAGCACATAGAGAGTAAGCCTCTATATTCTATAAAAATATTTGAAGAAAGGAAATATGAAATGCAACTATTATAAATTAATAATTTTTCCTAAAAGTACACGAGTTAGACTTTTACTTTAAACAACTGTAATAATAATCGCATAAAATATTTGCTTCAAAGAACCGTCGCTTCAACAATATTTATGAATTGTCTCTTGTTATAAATAAAATCTGTGTAGTATGGAAACATCTCTATATTACATTAATAAAACAAGAAAAATACTATACATAGAAGAGACGCTGTGTTAAAAAATAAATAATTAAATTCAATTACGCTTTCGTTGAAATGGTGAAAAATTTTCGCTAATAATTCAATACTGCATTAACGTTATATCACACAGACTTAATATTTTAACTGTTTTTAAATGTATTTAATCAATGTAAAATTAAATACTTTATAGAAGGTAAAATCAACCTTCCATAATATAAATATTACGTAATAAATGTCTTATACAACATACGACGATTGAATAAAAGTCGCTATTGATTGTTCAAGACTTTCTTTCTCAGGGATGTTCTTTGCGTCGCGTGTTTTTTCAATGGTAAGAAATGCATGGTGACACAAGCAGCTCGTCGGAAAAAGATGTTGCGGGGATGCTGGGTATTCGCCCTTCCATGATAACGTGGATTTTGACGCAGCGTCATATAAATCCGGGCGTTTTATGCTCTCATCTCGTGACTGTAAGGGTAGTGTTGCTCGTCTAGACGCAACAGCAGTTTGCTCTTTGCGTACTTTGCTTTACGAAGGGACGGTAGGGTAGTGAAGAATTTTATTATTTGCGAGAGCAGCGGTCGGTGTAAATGCGTCGTTTGAGTACACGCGAAATTATGATTCATGAATTATAGCGAGTACGAGCCGGTGGCCGATGGAGGACCACGGAAATAACACCGTTGCCGTTTTTACGACCGCCGCGCTCAATGAGTTTTAATTATCGGTGGTCGTAGTGGTAAATTAACAATTTATGCGAGTAATTCTCGGTGACTTGCGCGCGAAGGAAATTGCCTAAAACATGAAAAAGCGCAGGTTTAACGTAGCGCATGGTACAGCGCTATTTCTACTAATTTTTCCTCAAATAGGAATAATGCGGTTTGTAGTTTATTCTGCTGCCGTACATTAATGTTCAATGATAAATTGTTTAATTTAGAATCTTTTTTATCGACAATAATCTCAAAATATTCCAATAGTTGTAAATGTTAATTGAAAGTATAGTTTCAAATTTTAGTTTCAATTATAGTTTCAAATGCTACATATTTTTCTATCAATGTGACCAACTAACAATTAATTTGAAGAAAGGAAGAGACGTATCAAAAAAATTTTTTAAACTGAATTTTGATGAAGTTTTAAGTTACAGAAACGTTCAATGTAGGCCGAATGAACGTTTTTTTTTCGAACGTGCATGTGCATCGTGTTTTACCGGTGAATTACGTGCAATTGAACCCTGAGTACATTATGAAGCGACACGGCGCGTTGTGCAATTTATGCTCGATGCGCGTATCCTTTATCCGTAACATTAACTTGTATACTTTGTATTAAAACCACGTACGTTTGACATGCTGCAATAACAAACTCGGTAACGAAACCCGATATTCGTTGTGCTATTGAATATTGATGGGAGCAGCTTTTCGCAGGCAGTAAATACAAATATCCCCCTTTTTTTTCAAAAAGTACCTCATCGCGGCGTTTTCATCTGATTTTTATGAAGCGATTACCAATGCACTTGATTTAATATTTGATATATTCACAGTTTTACATAAAACATGAAGTTCCAAATTTCGATTGTACCACGCAATATTTGCATCAGCAAATACGTTTCACATTAACACCGCGTGGAAATAAATAGGAATTATTTAATAATCCTTTCTTGTTTTGCTTTGTCTCGATTTTAATTCCATGTTGACAATACAATGTCTCTTCTGAATACATTTACTTACCCTGGAATGAACCTCTATTGTGACAATTCAGCAACAAGGACGAAAGCCCAAACTAGGGAATATTAATTGGCAACAATTAGCAAGTTGTTTCGCCTGTGTAATGCGGTAAGCCCCGCCGTCGATTGTCAGATGGGTTCGCTGATTAGGATAAGCAACCAATCGCTGATGACGACGAGAACCCGCTCGTTAGCAGCGATTTTTAACAGTGCTGCGGATTAATTATTTACGTAACTCAATCCGAGATGATAATGTGTGTACTTCGCAATGCACACAGTACATGAATTTATCATTTTAGTGTGGTTGTAATTAAATTTCAAAAGAAATCAAATTATTTACTTTGTTTGCTGTTATTTATTTTTGTACATATATACGTTTTCATGTTTGTTATTATGATTACATTAATCAGATCCCGTCACCTTTAACCTCTATATTTCGGCAATGGATACTGGCTTCGTTGATGCTCGATGCCCAGCGTTAAACTGTAAATTAGAATAAAAACAATTACGTGAATATAAAGATATCAATTAAAGCAGAAATATTACACTATATGTATAAAAAAAGATTAAAAGAAATCCAAAATAAATCCCCAAATATTTTTAATTATTTTTTAACAAGTAAAACGTTTTGGTGTATTTTTACGAGAATTTTAATAATTTTTTAGGGATGAATAATAAAAATAATTATGATATTTCGGTTATTATTTTTCATTATTTTATTATATTTACAACGTTAACAAGAACAATGTACATCATGATTCAATGATTATTGGTAACAATTATGGATAATTGCAGTAGGCGATGAAATTTATGATCTACATTTCGCACTAATAGACGTATCACATTATTGAGGTAAACCGCTCGTACAAAAATATGCTTTCCGTTAGTTTCGTCTAAATAATAAAATTGTTGTTACGTTGGTTTCGGCTTTTAATTATAACATAGCTGGTCAATCTCTCACGACTTTAGACTAATGTACGATGCAGGCTATGCATACATAATACGACGTGGTAATTTCGTTAATTAGATCGCATTGCGTTGCTTACTGATGAGTAGAACTTTGATTACGTACAAATCGGTAGATAATAAATAAAATATCGCTTTGTTTCTGTAAATATCTAGGAATGTTGTATGATGTTTAATTTTAATGTATATTTTTTTAACACGCATGCATTCAATCGATCTCAAAGTCTTTCTCGCGTTAGTCTAAAACGTGTTACATATAAAACGGTATTTCAGACCTAATATATAAGTAAGTTATCGATAATATATCCGTGAATGTCTATAAAGTTATTCGTGAATGTGTTAGTCAGACCGCAGTCCCAACTAACGCTTGTCACTCTCACTCTTAATTGCATAATAGATGTTCGGATTGCACAGATATTTAAGATTCATTCGGTCACATAAAATCATTGTTCAAGAGACATTACGCGTTAATTCACGGGCGATCGATAAACGGTCCATCGTCACGAACTATTACTACAATACTGGCGTCGCAACGAAGCGATTGCTTCATCTCAAAGGAAACTATCGGCACCATTAACGCTTTACGTTCTATACATCTCACAAACCGCTTCTACAAAGGAACATTCTTACACTTACAAAAGTGCAGTATAGCTCCTAAACTTGACGATGGGATGGTGCTGAATTCGCGTACGGCAAATAAAATTGTAGAAACTTTTATTGGGAAATAAAAGTATTTACAATTTCTCTACGAAAAAGTTTCTCTGAATATTTTTTTCAACTCCGCGTTTCGGTTTTTGGCCCGTTTGTGAGACATAAAGTCGATTATATTTGTTACTTTTATGCACAGTGATACATTATATACTGTAAAATATTTTTTTATATTTTATAATATATAATATAAAACATATGATCTCATCTTGTGTCTCTTATAAAACTACTAGATGCCTTTTCCAACAATCTCAGAATTTTTTTCTCAGGAAATATATATTTTTTGTATTGGCTATTAAAATATTTTTAAATATTTATTGAGAGTTTAGCTAAGAATGTATTAAAACTCCTAAAACAAAAGTCGTTGAATAAAAAATATTCCTCGATATAATTTCTTCAAACATTATTAGAATTTTCGAACTATGTGTTTCGTTTCGTTTTGCATCTTATTGTGGAAACATGTGGAAATAAGAAGAACATACATATTCTGCTACATTTTCTGTGAAAATATCTCCAAAATATCTTCAAAATATTATACCTAAAATCTTAACATAGAATATCAAAATATTTTCGAAAGTTACGGAATACTTTCTATTGGAACTTTTTAAATGCTCTCGAACGTCTTCTTTAAGACTATTCATCGTCAATGATAGATTCATTCACTATCGGACACACAAGTGTTTTCCAAGTTCGTATCCGCATGAACTTCACCGTTACCGGAGTAAGATACTTTACTGTATTTATGGACGGATTTGCGTTTACGGATGTAGGTGAAGACGAAATAAATGATAACAGCGATCACCAGGCCTAAATTGACCGAGAACACTATAGCGAACCTGTGAAACCATACTGTGGGCTGCATCTTCCAGGAGATGCTACTCAGTACACACAGTGCCCTTCCGTCGCTCCACACGAACGTCGAATCCGCGTGACAGGTAATGCAGTCCGCGTCGCTAGGTCCTTTGCAAGATAGGCACGAATAATGGCATGCGGTGCAGAAAGCACCGGACTCATCGTCGTCTCGGACCGCGTAAGTTCCAGGTGGACATTGTCGCAGGCAGCTGCTATTGCTGTGGTACCAACCCGGTTTGCATACTGAAAAATTAGATATACCATGTTCTTCATTTTCATTTAGTCGAGATTATGCGGGGGGGTTGTTGCTGTTGCTGTTGCTGTTGCTACTATTGCAGTGTGACGTAGTGTTGCAGCCGATTGACATGTGATGTGACGAATGCAATTGCAAACAAAATCCAAATTCAAAATGAATAGTACAATAGATAACTTAGAAAATTTCTAAAAAATACATTAATAAAAGTAATGGCAATTATCTGCAATAATGTAGCCTACAAAATATTATGGTAATTTGGCATATTACTTAAACAAATTTATCTGTAACGCCCATTAAAATAAATTTCGAAATAAATAAATAAATAAATAAACGCACAAACGCACAAAATGGCAAAGCCTGTAATATTTATACAACTCTAAAAATTTGCAAATCATACGAAAGCACGTGTGTATGTACGTATGTGTGTTATCCAGTTACAAATTTTACAACAACAAATTTGCCGGATTGTAACGTACTTAAAAAATACTAATAAATAAAATGCATAGATAAATGCTACTTCATTGAATTGTGTATGGCATTTATACTTAATATAAAAAGTAACAGTTACATAATATTTGTTATCTAAAAATAAACTATTATTATATAATATATTAGTTGCATTTTCACTCATGCATTACGTACACGATCTTACGAAAGAAGTTGCTTTACATAGCACTCACTAATCTCTACAAAACAAAAGAAAAGACATTGATGACGTATGGACATTACATCATTGTTGTTGCCATATCTACATTGAAGTTTCTTTCTACAGCATTCTTAATATAATTTCGTCGCTTTGTTGTACAATTTACATAATAAAAAATAAAATAAACATACATATACAAAACATAAATATAAAACAGGAGAACATACCGTACATGATATATACATTTGTTCATATTATATGAATTTCTCTGCTCTTTTATATATTAATTGTACATTACAAAGGCATTAAATATAAAAAAATATACTGCATTGCTTTCTTTTAGGGGAACACGATATAATTTCATATGACGTAGAAAAATAAAATAGCGACGTATATACATAACATTTGACAAAAATTGATTTCTTTTACGATTCAATTATACTCCATTATTATATTTTACATTTATAATATAACATGACAATGAAGTGTGTATAGAAGTATCCTCACATTATTAATATTATTACCAATATTTGATACACATTATTCACTGTACAACATTTTATTCCAATAGATTATTTACCATATAATTATCTACCGTCTAATGATAATGATTGTATCAGTGCGATATTAATTTATGGTAGCAGAATTGGTACATCTAATTAATAAATATGAGGAACTCTTATACAAGAAACATAAAGCGAAGGAGATACGTGCATAGACAAAAGCCGTTAGTACAAAAACGAGAAAATAGAAGTTACCTCTCGTCGTCAAAGTACGTGAACCCCAAGGGAATACACTTAGTTCTCGGAAGCCTTACAGTGAATTTTGAATTACATGACGCTTCCCTTGATAACTTTGCATTAATTAGTTGTCGACCATAACAAGGCTTGACTAATTAAAGTCATGTTAAATATCTTGATGTGATATCACGTCCCAAAATTATGGGCCATTGACTATTCATACACAATGAAAACTGTGAAATAACTGTGCAAAAGTACAGAGTGTTTCTAGAAAGTAACGTAATCACTAACCAATATTATCTGAAAAGAATCAATGATATTTTTGTTATTAACTGACTTTTTAATTAGTCTTAAATCTTTTGTGAAGTAAAAACTCATTAAAAATTTCAATAATCAATTATTAAATTTTAATAACTCGAGTTATTAGAGTTTCTTTAGCGTTGGTAATTCATTAATGACGCCTGGGATTAAAGGCTCGCTAAGACAAGGAATTATAAACGCGAGAGAAAAGTCGAAAAACGTAAATCTTTTTCGGGTGACCTTACGGGAGATACGGTGTTATTAGGGTGCAATTAGAGAAACGAATCTCGATCCCTCAGGCAGCCAAGTACTTTCGAGAGTGATAAATCGCGCGATAGAGGATTAAAATAGGGCATTATATAGAAAGAAGAAGAAGTAAGACTCACCGTGCTGGTGAAGCGATCAGGGATAGGGCTGTTTTTTTTTGTTTTTATGTGCGGTTGTGGATGTGTGGATGTGGTTGGTGATGGTGATGATTGGTGGTGGTTGGTGGCTGGTCTGAGAAAGTCCGCGTCCGGCACTCGTCCCCACGGAGAGTCCAAGTACCTAAATAGGTTTTCTGAACCTGCTATAGTATAAAGGGATAAACGGCGACGTACGCGTGACAACTTCGAGATGGTTTATATCTCACAAACAATCCGATTTTTATAACGCTCGCTAAGAAAACTTTCCTCGCTGTTCAAACTACATTGTTCACATACTTGAGAATTGTATATTGTATTTCAATACATCTATACGTTGAGAATTAGGAATTTTGAGAAATTAAGAAACGCTCTATTCACCCATCGGTGTATAACTTTTTTGTGATTTGAGCGTTAAAAAGAGGAAAAGAGTATACATACAGTTCTGTTTCGTGTTAACCAGTTAAGGTTAATAGAATCAGTTTGACAGCTTTAAATTTTCATTATATTGGAATTGATATGAAAAATATATAATTCTATTTCTGGCGGAGTTAGAGCTAAATAAAAGCAATTCTATTGTTTTCTATTTGCGGTTTTAATCGAATTATTATAGATCGAAGTACAATAGTTAGTAATGCATAAGAAAGTAAAAAATATTGAAATAGACAATAGAGGTCTTTGACTTATACTTGAATGGCTCAATTAAATTGGCTGATGAGTTCTCCATAATATACTGGAAATTGGGAGTGTGTCGGACTGGGATGTGTTCGCACTGGTTAATCATCAAATCCCTAAGAGTTACTGCCGCACGGTGGATTAATCGTCCCTGTCCTAGCAGAATCGCGATAACGGATAATTGTACCAGATCCACGCTACCACAAGCTCACACGGCTTTAACGTGTCGCCTTCCAACGTTCTCCACATCCGTTTCGATCAAGATAGAATGAATAGATGGTTCAATAAGAAAAAGATAAAAAGCACATCATTATTTTAACTACGAGATAGAATCACGTTTTCAGAAATTAATATACCTTTTGATAACAAAAACACGACTTAAATAATTATGAATAAAAAATAGTGTTAAATCTTTGTTGAAACGAAGCGAGTAAAGTTATTTCCATACTTTTTATTTAATTCCTTTCAACGTATAAGTATATTGGAATACAATATACAATTCAATGAACTGGAAAAAGCGTCACGGCGAGGAAACTTCAGTAATTATGAATCACTTTTGTTATCACTTTTAAAGAAAAAGAAAATATAGAGAGAGTTCCTATATATTTTATTGAATTTCACGTGAGATACGCAAATATATATTTAAATTTGCAGCAAGAAGAAATCAGAAGACGCACTGAAATCGCCAATAAATGCAATTTGAACACGTTGCATCAACGCATGCATATTATATGAGCGATAACATCGTTTCGAAGGAAACAGCGTGCTGTTTCGAAAGCCGTTTTATTTAAAGAATGGATAGAATAAGTTAGAAATGCAGTGCTTAGTATTTAACGTGCGTTTAAATGTATATCTAACATTTCTATGAAAAATTTCATGCACAATTATAAAAATTAATATCACAATGTAGTAAATTATCAGCAGCTTCTTAAGTGTTTATGTTTTATAAACATAGTTAAAACATTTATGCCCTGATTAAAACAACTCACATAGATATGTGCTAGACTGTTTACTGTAATAATTTATTAAATTATTTACAAGAAGCACTTTCGTAGAACTTTTATAGCTAGCGAAATTAAATTAAATTTTATATTAATATTAGCTGTTTTGTTTATTCATCTTGACGTTCATTCATTCATCTTAAATTTTTTATCTTGATATATTTTTCTTATGAGAAAACATGTCAATTGGGACGGATTGAAGTATTATAGTTGCATGCATCTCGAAAGATATGATTAAGGTTAATGCACGGAATTCATTTGTCATGCATTGTTATCTTTAAGAAATCGAATATTCGCCTGATAGTCAGCACTCAAACAACTCTTATATAGTTACTTGACCTTAATGAGAAATAAATGGCTTTACAATCAGCATTTTCCAGTAACTTTGAGCAGTTTGCCTTTCATAAACGCAATTTATAGCGTTTAATGTCTTTGATTATAATTGACTAAGTTTCTAATTTTGCGACGTCTTTGAAAAAATTCATGAAAAGCTATTAATAATCTATGATGTGAAAAGTTCTTATATCGATAAGTGCATCATAATTAATTATGGTGTATACAGATTCTGTTTATAGTCTAAATAATAATCCAAAATAGTTATCTAAAACAATCTTCTTGTAACTTGTAATATTGTATCATTTCATGCAATCGCAAATAAGAAACGATCAATAATGTACGAATTGTACAAAACCACAGAGATTTGATATTTTGAATTAATGCTGTTTCAAAGATAGAATTTATTTCATCCTGAATTCTCACAATATTCTCAGAACTCATATTGATACCTGTAATTATTATCTGCATTTTTAAAAATTACATAGATTTGCAGAAGTTATAAAAATTACGAACACAAAAGGTTTAATTGGATGATGAGATTGTTAAGAATTATAGCAACTTATATGCAGACGACTTTTTATATGTTACGTGGGTTTATTTACGAACCGGAGCATGCTTTAATTGGCACATACCTGCATATGACCTGGCATAATCAGGATTAGAACATCGAGCGGTGTTAGAAGCGTTAATCGGCTCGCAAGATGCAAATTAGTAGACTAATGGCGAACGGGTAGGATTGGAGTATGAATCGTAACTTAAATAAAAATGAATAAGCGGATGAAGGAGTCGAGTCATATTCATACTAAATAGTTGAATTGACCATAAATATATTGCCATTTGTCATTGTCGTTTAAATATCACGATTTAATGCCATGATTAAATTGTTCA